TTTAAAGCTCTAAATTATAAAACAGAGTTTGAAATGTAATTTTCATGTGAAATTATGCTAAATTTTATTTACAAATTCAATATTTTTCATTTAAAATAACTTTCTAGATTTATTTAATTATAAAAGGAATTTTACTTTTTTTCTTGCAAAAATATTTTACACATGGATACTCAAATTGAAAGTTCAGAGAGAATTTGTTTTATTAAACCTAAAAATATTATTTTATATTTCTTTAAGATGAATATATTGCATATTGTGTTGAAATCCAATTATTTGCTTTATTACAATGAGATGCATTTATCAATTTAATTAACATTAAACAATGAAATTAAAAAATAACAAATAACAGGTTACTTTAAAAATTTAATAAATAAAGGTTAAATTAATAAAACTATATATCATTTTCCTTATCAATAAAAATTAATAATTAATAATGGATATAAGTTTATATGGATTTCATTTAAATTTATCCGAAAAAAATAATATATTATTTTGTAGCAATAAGATAATCTAGAAATAATTAGAGATAGCTTTTAGAATAAGAATGGTATTTTTTTTATTAAATAAGATTAAAGGTACTGTAGGACTCTAAAAAATAATCATTTTCCAAATAAATCAGAGTAATAATGTATTATTTTATATAAGTTTTACACAGATTTTATAATTATTAGATGTTATGGGAAATTTCATTAATAAATTGTAATAGTTAAATACTTCCTTTTTTAATCTATAAATTATTCTTTTCTTTTTATTGCCTAGTTAATAGGTTTACTATTTCTAGGATTCTTAAATACGAATTTTGAACTTTTTCAGGGTTTACAACATACGAAAGTGGAAAAACTTAAAATTATTAAAAATTTTATAGAATTTTTTGTAAATCCATAAAAAATTTAATTTACGGTTTTCAATCAATCGACTTAAGATAGGAGTAGATTATTGGATTTCAAATTAAAAGGTTATATTTTCTTATAATGGTTTTGTTTTTGAAAAATAACATTATATTAGATCAGTACGAATTATAGGGTATGGAACTTATATAAATAAGTATAACTTAAAAAGTAGTTTTGCTTATCAATTTATTATAAATACTAATGCAAATTATTATGTTATTTATATTAATAATTTAATTAAAGAGTAAAACTGTGTTTTATGTTTTTGAATGCTTAAGTTGAAGAAGATCTTATGCTTTATAATATTTCATGAAATAATGAAATAGGTTCAACATTTTGAAATCTAATTATCAATAAAACATAAAATTACTTGAGATGAAAATGTCTATGAAGTATTTAAAAAAAATCAAGAGCAAGTTAATTTTTGAAATGCTTTTACTTAATTTCTGAGATTCTAATTGGCGTAATCTACCTATAAAAATTAAATTTTAATATACAGGTTGATAGAATCATTATGACTTAAAAATTCTATAATCAAGTTAATCAATTAAAACACAGTTGGGTATATAAGTTTTGAATTCCTGATAATAATGATAAAAATAGTATATTTTTTTTATTGTTATAAAGTGAAATATATACTTATATTGAAATTTCATATTTTTTATAAATAATGTATTAACTTGTTATAGATTAAAATTAAGGGGTATAGAAATCCATATATGAATATGAAACATGCTTAGCAATTGCAATAAAAAATGATAACTCAATGTTGCTTACTGGATGGGATAACAAAGTTCTTGCCCATATTTTTAAATAAGGAAAATTAAAATAAGTAAAATTCTTGCATCAACATGCAGCTGAAATATCTACGCTCAATTTTTGTTCAAGAAATTCTAATATTATCTCTGGCTCACTCGATGGTTCAATAATAATTTAATCAATCTCATAAATATCAACAACAAAATGGATTTAAAAATTAACTGGTCAAGATGACATTATGTGTTTAGCTATAAGTCCTCTATCTGAAGACTTGATTGTCTCAGGCAGTCGAGATAATAGCATCAAATTTTGGCAATGTATTAACAAATAATTTTCATGTACTTAAACCATTCAAGAACATAATGATTGTGTATGTGGATTATCTATTAATGAATAAGAAAACACAGTTATTTCATGCAGTTTAGATTAAATGATTATAATATTTGAATAAGTTAAAAACAATAATTATGTAAGTTGGGTTGTGAAACAAAAAATATTAGTTGATTAACATGGTTATCGTATCAGCTTTATAAATCAAAATATATTTGTATTCTAACCCGAATAGATTATTGATTCAAAATTACTTATTTACACTCTTAATGATTAGAAATTATTTTTTCAAAGTAATCATCTTTCAATAAAAGATGGAGGAATATCATGCTATTATTTTTTTCCCCTAATATATAATCTTAAAAAAAATATCCTTATCAATAAAAATAACAATAATATTAATGTAATAAGAGTATTAAAATAAAATAAGGAGGAGGAATGTGTTGAATTTAGGTTAGAATAGATAATAGAATTTGAAAATAGTTGTATTTTTGGTACTTTAAGTAATGATGGAGAATATTTAGTCACATGGGACGAAACATACAAGTAAATTTAGATAAGACAATACTAAGAGATGGAATGATTTGATTTATTTAATTTTTCATAATTCTTATTGTAAATTGATTAACCATAGATTATAATTAGTAATCTCTTATATTAAATAAATTTAAGTTTATTTTCTTAATGATAATTAAAACAACACATAAATATAATATTAAATAATTATTTTACAAAAAGTTGGTCAAAATATTTATTATCTATCTTAAATCGAGAACAAATATTAAAATTCTTATCCTTACTTACATAATAAATGGTTTGTATTTTTCAAATGCATGGTTTACCATATAATAGATCAATTGTATTAAGGTATTATAAAGTTCAATTAACTATTCATAATTTACAATTTTAAATCAAATTTAATCTTCAATATAATTTATATGTTCCAATTAATGCTTATAAATCTAAATAATATTATAGACCTTAAGAAAATTATTGAATTTTTATCTTCTTTTATATGAAAACTCTTTTCTACCTCTACTTTAGATTTTAAATTTTATTAACAAATATGTATTATTATTAATAAATGTATGATTATTTTGATATCAATCAATCTTTATTAACTGAGCAAGTTCAATAGTAGTAAGGTATTTAAGAATTTGATAAAATCATTTTTGATTACTCTAAATAAAAAATGAGAAAAACCAAAATCACAATCATCTTTACAAAAAATAAGGAAATAAAATATAACAAAGATGGACATATTATAAGAGTGTAATATTGTTATTTATTTTTAACCTTGATAGAGATTAATTTAAAGGTGAATAGAATTAATATAGTAGAATTATTGAAATTTATGTAAAAATATTTCTGCATTTTTCTTCATAATTCTCTTTTTTTCTCTTTTTATTTATTTAATTAATTAACACACATTATTAATTCATTCAATTATTTTCAAGTTGGTTAGAATTTGGACTAAATTATTTTATTCCGTTTTTCTAAAGTTAAGTCCCTCCCTTATTAGCAGTTTATTTCAATATTTAAGTCTCACTACTCCTTTACTTATATTTAATATTTGAAAATTTCGAAGAATTAACTTTTTGATTTTAGTAAATTTAAAATCTCTTTTATTTTCATCAGAAAATTTTTTAATTCTGGCTGTGTTTTCATCAAACCAATTTCTTATTTTGTGGATTATTTAATTAACTTCTCTGTCTCTCGGAAGGATATATCTTATCTATTAATGGTTTGATCCACCTCTTACCCAATCACTGATGGC